ACACGTATTTTTGATAGATCTTTTTTCAGTTTAAGTAGTGCTTTAAAATCTCATCACGATTTGACTACATGAAGTGTTCTGCACTATGAGAATCTAATCAAGTAATTGTCCTTACAAAATAAATTATGATATATGATGTCAAAGAATATGACTGAAATTTTGAAAGGGACAATAAGAATAGGTTTACAGAAACTTCTGACTAAATAGTTCTTACTGACAGCCCTAAAATGCACAACAGTAGCTAAGTGACATGAATAGGTGGTTTCTTATCATTAATCAAGACGATTCGCTAATACTAGCTAGATCGGTATGGAGCACCAAACACCGTATAAACTAGGTAACTAACAACATAATTTCTCGAGATACTTCCTTTTGAACAACATGGATTTTGACTTGAAAATAGTCTTATCATTTGACATCAGTCAGATTTTGAAAAACTGAGTATAATTACATGCTAGCGTAGAACAGTTGAAGTCTTCTCATTTATACCTAGATATTTAACAGAATATTAATTTCCCTTCATGTCACAAACAGTAATATTGAAGATGCCACAGGTTTTCGGAGTTTGATAACGCTTTAACTAGTAACACCTTCTAATACGGAGCGTACCCACCAAGTGAAATCAAAAGACAGAAGCGAGGAGGTTCGAAGATACATTTGATAGGCTATCAATATATCGAGGATCGTCTGATCTAATCTGGCCAGCTATTGCAGTAGATGTTGAGCACGGCATTCCCACTCGTGATCTGGTGCGGATGCATGACCGAGCGCCTTCAGCTAGGTGAGCCCATTAAAACTAATGTGGTCGGCATCCAATGTCGAAAGCTTACAGAGCTATTTATTTTGGGGATTCATTTACCGCTACAATATCATAACTACTCCTCATATATATACATATGATGTATGTACATAAATTGAAAGTGGTATGGTTGTTGTTGGACTGGGTACTTTAGTATACTCTTGTACATGGTTCAAAAGTCGTAAAAAGTAAATTGTACACATAAATTACACAATAAACTGGTGAACTAACTCTTGAACTGTTACTGATATATGTTATCCTGCACACGAACTTGTATTCGAATTGGGATTACCAATTGTAGCGTGGCGTCGAGTTGAGATTAACTATGAACACCGCTACCAAGAAACACGTGCCAATTAGATCAGAAGGCGTAAGAAGCTCGTTCCAAATGACTCCATAAAATCCCCGAGAAGCCAAATATCAGAAGGCAATTAATGGACCAAGTCGAGATGTATTCGCTGGCGATCTCGTGGCATAGAAAGGATACCGAGATCGTGCCAGGATACAAGCTTGGTTACAGAACGTAACCGAATTCGCGTGAAGTTACAATCGAAGTGTGAGTATAAGAATGGAAGAACAAAATAGCTGTCATTAGCACAGTCAAACAAAAGCACGTTAAAACAAACACTGGTACAGTTGGTTATAATAATAATTGTCAGACGAACAGTTTGATTTATGATTATTTTGAATGCTCAAGTTTTGATATATTTTCCCAGACCACAAGAAGTACAGTTCTAGTTGTCTGTTATATTTGTATTCAAAACCAACTTAGCTACTTATTCTAATGTTAGTAGCTCAAGTACAATTCATCTGTATATACTGGTTCAAGACTAAAGACCACTTTTTATTCTTGTTTTGACTTTACGACTGTTTCCTTGCAATTAAGACTGATATTCAAATTAAGCTTGTGACTAAACCTAATCATTATAATCCGATTTTTTTCGGCTCAGGTTAATCAAACATTGATAAAGGAAAATACAGAGAGACCAAATAATTCTCTTGTGAAAAAGCAATCATTCTGTATAAAAATGAAGTTGTAGGCTGATATTATCTGGTAGAAATCGATTTCATTTAAAAAGACACTCAACCAGCCTAATGAGTGACGACAAGATTGATAGTTACATCTTCTATGGCTTTGATCTGTGGTTCAAGTACTAACTCTGATTTCCAGACCTTAATTTTCGTAGTTATTGAATGATCCAAAGAGTCACTAATCATACAGGTTCGTAAATATTTTTAACGATTACTCATCATATTTATGGTTTGTATGAGCCTACTAAAATTATAAATGACAAAACCCTTCATTTATTATCAAACACAGTTTTAAATAGTTGTTTTCTCATATATACTACTCAAAAATATCTAACAGTAAAAAGTAGCTCATTATCAGTAGTTTTATAAGTAAGAAGACGAATTATTTTCAGTGAAAAATCCTTTTAGAAAAACATTTTGAAAAGTGTTTAAATAGCGATAACCAAATATAATTTCATCAAATTATGGGTTATCTCATTATTAATCTCTTTAAAATGTATATATTTAATAAATATCCCATAATGAATAATAAGAACACAATGAAGTAGAAAAATAATAACAGTGAAACCAGGTCATGTGTTAATATTCAATCTGAGAAGCAATCATTATAATTATTGTTGAACAGGAATTATATAAAACTAGACATTTTGCATTATGATGACTAAAATAACTAGAATATAACACTTTCTTCTTTACTAAACTCAAGTCCTTCTTAAAGAAAATTTATTTGTTTATTTATATGGTAAGAGTTTTTCTCTTACCTAACAATAACATAATATGATGTATGCAATAGAATAAATGATGAGTTTTCACTGACCACGTACTAGAAACAGTAGATAGTCTTTTAGATACTGATGTTTAAATCCTCATTAAATGTATGAAAGAAAAATTAGAAATCAGGAACCAGTTACCACAATCAAGTTTTATATATATATCGTTATAACGGGACACTATTGTCTTAATGTGTGACTGTCGATTATGCAATCGATTATCTGAACTGATACGGTTAACGTGACCGAGTGACTAGTATTCATAACTTCTGAATGATTGACCGAAATTTCCGAATGGAGGAATCTCAGAAAGCAGAAAGTGTTGTTAGCAATGATGAGACAAATATATACCGAATATTTGCACAAAAATGAAAATGATCAAAATTTATTTCAAACTTAAATAATTGTTAGAGATTTACAAAATGCTAATTCGGGACCCATGTAAAGTTGTGGATGTACGCTGCTGTGTTATTCCAAACCAAGATGGAAAATTTATCTATTGCGTCTAGGTTCCTAAAGGTTTACCGGTTAATGTCGTTTCAAATATTCCCAAAACTATATGAATGTCTACAAACCATCTAAATAAATAACTACGAGTACAAAGTTTTGACCTTTGTATTCAAAAAGTATTTGTGTTTAGCCCTTAACTGTTTTGGTAACAAAAAAATGAATAGTGTTAAGAACTGACCATATTTCAGGAAGTCTTGATTATTATTACTACCATTACTATTTATCTATCTTATTTTGTCATATTATGTAACAGTGTTCTGGAACTATCACAATAATTATTTACAAAAATACAACTAAAAAAACTCATTACAATTTCACAATCTGAGAATTTTTTACTGATCTATGGTGTTAACTCATTCCTTTTACATATCATATTGATGTTGTGAACGTTACAAACCTGTCAGCTTGTATGCAGCTGAAACAAAATCAACGAAACACAGTGAACTCCTTGTATTCTGAAAATACTGTTTTTGCTTTATTAAACTTGGTTGAAATTCTAGAATTATTCAAATAATTAGTAGTGAGTAGATGTTGTCTTGACTTAATCTGTCAAAAGTAGTGAAAGGAAAATATAACACAACACGTCATCAAGTATTTTCACATTTTTGAAAAAAACTATTTACATCTCTAACTTTATGATAATTAGCATATTCTGTTACTCCATGGATTTCAGTTGTTTTAGATCTGTTATTTCCTTAATCACATAAGAAAGACCCCATTTACATAAATTAAAAGCTTTATGACTACATTTGTTAATAGTTTTTCATGCGACAAAAGATATAATCATGTAATCTGGGAGGGAGCATTTTAGAATGTACCATCTCTTTAGTTTTCTCTCAAGTTTAATTATAGTAGCTTTATGAATATCCTTGAAATAAGATAACTTCATTTCTGTGTAGATAAGCAAAATACGAAATTATATTCCTTAAAAAGAACTTATTCATATTTCGGAAAAATGAGTTAACCTAGATCACTATTTTATTAATATTTTTATGGTATCTAAAGTGGTGAATGTTAGATCTTAGTTCCTATGGTGTACACTAGCATCTAAGTAATGATGAAGTGGTTCATTTACTGTCAAACTACTTGAATTTCAATCAGTCTACCATATATATGAATTCCATTCTACATTCCTGGGTTTAGACAGTTGTTTAGTATAACCAACCATCCTACGAAAACTTTACATTCTTACATATTATTCCTAATCATGGTTTCCATTTGCTATATTACTCTTAGTTTCCTTCCATATCTAACAAAATAGGTTACGATGATTTAATATAGAATATTACAAACAAAATTTAACAACCTGTATAAAATTTATATTATGAATTTATTCATTATTCAATAATTCATTCCATAATGTTTATACTTATCTCCTATTTAATTATAAATATTTTACCGAAACAAAAATAATAGATAATGTTTAATTATATGTTCTAACATGACTAGTAAAAATCACTTTCATTCATTTTCAATCTATTTTAACCCACATGCTTAACTGTTGAAAAAGCTCAATAATTAGCTATCATTTTCATTCAATAAGGGAAAAGATAATATAAAAAAAATATTCTATGTGGTAAATTAGAGGGGAACAGAATTTATGCCTTTAATATTAATATAAGAGAATAATGATTTTAGTATCTACCTATCACAGTTTAAATTATAAATTGGACAGACTAATATGTCCTCGCCTATTTATCACTATTATTCATAGTTAAAAAGGTGGAGAAATACTAACCAATGAGCTTATGATCCGTACTAATCTAACTTTTTAATATTTATTTTAAACTATTGAAAATGTCTAGTTTTTTAATTTTCCATTTTTGTTCATAATTTTGGGGAACTGAAGTAATCATTAGAAATTACTAATATTCTTATTGAAAAAAAAGATGTATACAGATGATGGATGTTGGATGCAAACTAATGAAGATGCATTGATTCACCTTCGTCCATCTCCTCATCATGAATTTCATAACCTTTGGATTACCGAATCAACCTCAAAACCATATTCATTTAATATTTCATCAACTTATTCGTCTAGTTCATCACCAGTACCAGATCCTTCATTTCTTACTGATAACACGACAAATACTTCTGTTATATTAGATAGTCAGTATAATCCATATTTCAGTAATACTGGAAATTTACATGTACCATATAGGTACATGTGGGATAAAGAAGATGATTATTACCTGTATACATCCAAGTAAGCTTTGTCTTTTTGAGATATATCAGATTCATTTTTTAGAAGGTATAGATAACTGAGTTTGATATCAAAAAGAATAAATACATTCGATGATAAGCTTTAGAGAGTTCTCTGTAGAAATATAAGTAAATGTTACTGAATAAGTAATACTCACGTGAAAACGTGCAAAAATTTACATTATTCTTTGAAAATCTAACTATCAAAATGCTAAAACAATTAAGACTGGACTGTTTGATTATCTTTCATTAAAAAAAAGTTGATCCCTAGTGCGCATACTTCAAGACTTCAGTTTCAGCTATTGAATCATTGATTAGAAACATATCCAATTTATTCTCAACAGTTCGTTAGTATGATCGGCTTCTATAATAGTGGCATAATTCTCTATTTCCCAATTTTACTGAGTTATATCTTAGTTTTGGAATACATGTTAGGTAACATTTCATGCATATAAGTACATTTTGTTAAGTCCACTGATTTTATCTTTGCTACTAAACCTGATGATTATTTACTGAAATATTTTTCTCAAATTTGTATGAATTGAAGGCACTTTACATAACACAGATCAATTAAAGAGTAAGTGAAAAGCAAGAAGCAAGGGGTGAGTGTTCCTTTGTCATTCAGGACTTCTCAACAGTATTTGTTCATAACTATACAAAAAAAACTTTTGTCAATTAATGATCGAATCCTTACGAATGAATTGCTTCGAAATGGATTTGTTTAAGTTCTAGTGAGATTCTATGAAGTTAATCAAATGTAAGATGAAGCAATAAATCACTAACGACTTTATATGAGGATTATGAAACATAACAGACCAGTAAATTCTGGAACTGTGGCGTACAGAATTTATACCCAGTGGTCTAAAGATACTGTGCTCTTTGTGAGAACTAAAGATCGTCTCTTGGTGGGTGCTCATTTTCGAAGAGTCACGGATTAGGGTAAAAACAACTTTCTAGTCCTCCCTGGTCTGCATTAACATTTCAACTAATGTCAACTGACAATAAAAGCTATCTAGAGAAACAAATATAAGAATTTAATTAAATTTCTGGTATCATTTGATATAATACGACAGTTGCTTACATAGTCCACCGACTATCCATTAGTTTAAATAAGTAAAAATCTCAGATACTTTCGTCTTAATAATTTGCACTATCTAGTAAATAACCCCGATTAGAAGAAAGTCCGTTAGTTCATGATTTCTGTTGTCTTAAACCAGTATCTTTGAATTACACGAAATTAAGAATGAATCACATTTAATATGATATTACGCAAAGTTGACAATCTTAAGTAAATGATTAGAAAGTAAAACCTCTTAAGGTGGTTTTACTAGAACTTTGTACAATCTCGGATGGATTAATGATTCAAAATGATGTTCATTGTTTTTTAATAATCATAATAACTCTGACAACGCTTTTTACCCTAACTGAAGTTTATTGTTAAAATTTGAAATACATTATCAGTTCATTTATACTATACACGAAACAATAGTAAGAACGTTCTCGATGGATGCTACTAAGATTGCAACAAAAGTAGTTTCTTTTACTTGCCCATATTAAATAATACTTCTCTTAAGTAACGAATTTAAGTACCATCTTTTAGAGATTTTAATTAAGTAGCATTATCAAATTGCTTGGGCAAGTATGTGTTTACTATTGATAAACTTTTGAATTGAAGGAAGATAGCTATATCAAAAAACTAACTAATCTTCCTTAATATAGAACGTAGTAAAATCATTAAAGGTAAAATATCACTAGTAAATGTATTCAGATTGTATGGTTGCTGACAAATTATAAGATGAAACACACTTATACTTCACATTTATCATCAACTCTACAACTTTGGTGGAACCCTATCATAAACCACAGTTTCATACCCAAACTTTTAGGATAATCACTCAGAGATTTCAGTATCATCTTTCAACTTAGCCCAGAAATAGTATAAAGTTGAATCTTAATCAGATGGTATATTTTATTGAACTACCAAACCCGATTACCAGTAATTCTTGCATTTTCAGCAATTATTTAATTGTTTTCCTTAGTCATAATTATCACAAGTAAACAAAAAGACTACCAAATCTAAACGAAATTACTATTTTACCAACAGACTAACCCTCCATAATTTAATGTATTCATAAATTATTTAGATAAAACAGGTTTCAATGAAACCATAATTTAAATTTGCTTAAATAAATGTTTTTGGATAAATTAGTAACATATCGTTCACAATTCGCATAGTCACTTTTAGAATCAATCTCTTGGATACTAGTATACAATGGTTGTTTATTGAATAACATTTAAGGCTACACATATCTTAATATATTTCAAAATTTTTTTTAGTGATTTCATGTAGCTTTACTGAATTATTGTGAAAACTTGCACTGCTTCAAGTTTCCGTACTTAAAATGGTGTAAAACTTGGAAAAAAATTGATTGTAATAATAAATTAGCTAGAGAAAGTAGCTTGAAAATTTTAAGATGTCTTAAATGTTACATTTTAGTCTGCAGTCACTAATACATAAGAAATAGTTAAGTGTACATTTATAAGCGGTTGCTTTTGTGCAAATAATTATAATGAATTACTTGTTTATGTGACTTGATAAACTTCATTTTGAAATCTCATGAATAAAGTACTCAAATATTACTGAAAATCATTTTATGCTTTTACTTAGTAATCTCTAATTAAACTACTAAATTTCCTATCTATGATGATAGTCTGAAATTGTTATAATATTTTATGTAATCATGATTCGACTTTCAAACAGTTGTTAGCCGTTTTATGATTATGTCTACTTGACTTAAAATTCGATTTTCATTTCGTAGAAAGTATCATAAACTACATTCTTTGATCATTGATGTTTTGAGTATTGCATTTATTTCGTCTTAGAATCTATATAACACAATTAAACTTGTTGTAATGACTTTCTAGTTGTTATACTGAGCTATTTTTAGACACTGTTTCATATAATAAACATTAACGTTGATGTAAAAATGGAACTGTAGAACCTGATGAGAATTTATTTACATGAATATTCTTCATTCAGATATCCCTATTTTGATATAATCAGAATTTGTAAAAGTAATGATTCAAATTATTTGATGATTGGGTCTGTTTTATAAGAAGCATGAAACCTAATTTTATATTGAATGAGGTTCAATGAAAAGCTGTATAAACCACATCATTCAGCGTAACAAATAACGAAAAATAAAAGATCACTTAGCTTTTTATATCAACAAGCCTTTATTGGTATTATTATCAGAATGGGTTTTGTGGAGATTTTTAGAAATTTCACAAGTTGAAATCATGAGTCAATTGAAGCTAGACCACCATGGAAAACCTGGAAGCACTGGACGGCCGTTTCGTCCTAGTATGGGACTCCTCAGTAGTGCGCATCCACGACTCCGCACCTTGCGGAACTCGAACTCAGGACCTACTGCCTTCGCGCACGAGCACTTAACCATTAGACCACTGAGCCGGCACCCAACGGTGTTAATGTCCAACTTCAACCAATCCACGAAATTGCGCCACCGTACACCATTGTCTTCAGTGAGTTCCTATCTCACAATAGACCTGGTTGAACTCCAATGGTAACGACTTCTCACTAGAACTCCAGGAGTGTCTCCTGAAGTCAGTCACTAGTGAGCAGGTGATTATTATTATCAGAATGGGTTTTGTGGAGATTTTTAGAAATTTCACAAGTTGAAATCATGAGTCAATTGTTATTGTTAACTAAAGTATGATATTAGTTCATATTAATTGATCGAATTATATATAACTAAACATCATGTAAATCTAAAAAATGAATCACTAATTGTCAAATTAAATCATAGTGACATGTTTTCTTTATGGCATTATAATTCACTTTTTAGTTATCATATCTTGTATTTAGTAGAATATAAAAAATCCTATGATACAATCAGTCATCATTCTTCATCCTATGATCAAAGTTATTTCGTCCTTTCATTTTTTTTTCAAAAAAACTTGATTGATAAAATCCCAATTCACATCGAACACTTTCTACAGATAATTATAAGTTATGCAACAAACTCTTGGGAAATGATAGTAGTTACGACGAATCAGGCTGTTATTATTATTATTGTTGTTGTTTTGGCCACACCGAAATTCATACTCAGAATTTCTGTTTTCCAAGTTATTATTTTATGCAATATTTTTACATATATATATCAAATAAGAGAGGGAAAACAATCCATAGAAAAGATAAAATAATGAAATATATAGACATGCTTACACGGGCAGCAATGGATAGATAGTAGAAATATGTACGCAAATATGTAAACATTTACATTTTCAAAGTCTAAGTGACTAAACGAGATGAGAATTCGTTAAAGTAACTGAATAAACATTGATGAGCTACAAAAAACACACGATAAACTGATGCATTATATCAGTTTTTAGACGCTATAATCAAATTATATATTATCGAGTCACGAAATGATTGTTGAGTATTTATTAACTTATTACTGAATACAATGGTATCTCAATCTATCGATAAATATTATTATATAGGAGATTGTCGTGAACCACTCTCTTCATTAGTTACTTGTTGATGGTGAACAAATATTATAGTAAGATGGAAATAATTTCAATCACGAAAATTTCAGTAAAAACAGCTGATAAATACTCAATTTAATTACATATTAAAGTGACCAAAATGTAAACTACGCATAATCATAAGACTTAAGTTGTTAAATTATAGTACAGAACAGATCAGTAGGATAATAATCAAACTTAAGACTAATCTCGATTTGAGTTTTTGAAGGAAATAAACTTTGTTGGTCAACGTCGATATCAGAGCTCCTATGTAAGAAGACTGAAAATGTAGATTCTGAATCCAACACGAATGTGGTAGACATCATCACGTTATTCAATTTAGCGATCACATTGTAAATAGATCTCGGATAACAGAAAGAGATAAAGAATAACATAAATTACCAACTAGTTACTTATTTAGTGGAGCTGAATTCATAGCAGTTTAACAGAAATTAT